TTCCACAAGCAAGTCTTTTATCAAAAACAAGAGCATGTGGACCTCGATCTTTTTCACTCCTAGGAATCCATCCCTGTGACTTCTCTCTCTTCCACCTTGGAGACCAACTACTACACAGCTCGCAGCTGCCGCTGCGGAGAATGCTGGTGGTTATCCCTTTCCCACCAGGACCAGCCCACAGCTGAGGACTGGAGTCCTTGCCAGTGGGAACAATTGCTATAGTGCCATCTACGCTCCAGAGCTTCCCTGGGATCAGGTGGAGCTGGCCTTCAGCAGACCCCACGCCTCTGTCTAGTTCCTTCTGCTGTACCTTGCTCTCCTTGTTGGCTTCTTCCGAGAGCCCCCATCAAAATATCACTTACCTCAGAGTCCCCGTCTCAGGCTCTGCTTCTAGGGCACAACCCAAGACACTGTAGGGCGAGACAAAGTTGTTTGGGCTTCTCACCTGTGGCCTTGGGTGTGGGATGACATAAGGCTGTCCCGGCCTTCTCACCCATGGCCTGTCGGAAGGCGCCGTGTGTTCCCAGCAGCTGTGAAGCCGTGCGTACGGAGCTGCGGCTGGGCACCTTGCCTCTATTGTTCCCCCGTATAAAGGTGTACAGAGCCTTCTGTTTGTACCAACTGTGGATTGCAGATTGGAGATCTCCCATGTTAACCAGGTCACGAGCTCCCTGGCCACTAGGACATGGTTAACGCCGGACCTCCCCTGTAGCTTGCTGACTGGCCACTCCAAGCTGAATAAAGCACCTTGCACCTGCCTCCACTGCCTGAGTTACTCTCCAGTCTGTCCAGATCAGAACACTTGCATTATAGGCATCGACAATATGAACCACATGGATAGATAACAGAGTCCTTGCTCCCCAATGAATGAGATTGATAGGCACTGCTGCCCAGCATGGTATCAGAGTTTCCACACTTATCAGTTAGTTACCGACCTACATCAGCCCACAGCAGATACTGCTGGGCAGACTCAGTATAGGTTGGTAGCTCAAGGATTACCATCCCCGCCCCCACAGACCCCAGGTCCAGGCTGCCGGGCTGAGTTGCAGTGCCCCGAGCCACAGTCCTGGGCATGGCAGCTGCACTTCTGGCAACTGGCTGAAAGCAGGACAGGCCAACAGAGCTGGGAAGAGGAGGGGTCAAAAGGCTACAGTCTGTGGGTTTTGCGCGCCGTGGTAGAGACTTGGGAGTCGTCCACCATAATCTTTCCCCCCATTCTGCAACACGAAAGCACAGTGGCTGGCATGCCTGCTTTCTGCACTCACCAGGTGAATGTGGATAACCCTCCCCAAGGAGTGTGAATAGTGGTTATGTGTGGCGCCAGCTGCTTCAGGTAGCGGGTGTAACCCCGCCACACCTACAGTCATCACCTGCCTGGCTAACCTTTGTACCTCTGTCTGGAGGACCTCCCTGGCCCTGGAGACAGGCTCAGTCAGTCCTCAGGGCATCTGGAAGGGCTCAGCAGCCCTCAGCCAAGGGTGGATGGGGCCTCAGCGGGCAGCTCCCTACGCCCCTCCAGTGGGGCCGCTGAGGCATGTGCGGCCTCCCAGTACCTTCCTGACCCTGGTCCCTCATCAGCTGTCTCCTTCCTGCCACACTTCCCCTCTCCCCTACAGATGCTTTCTGGCATCACCTCCTAAGCACTCTACGTGAACTTGAACCTTAGGTCAGAGCTGGCTTCTGAGGTAAACAAACAAAGACAACTCTCTTATCAGGTGAAACCCACAGAAACCCAGCTTCAGCCACGCATATGCTGACAATGGCAGGGCAGGGCAGGGCAGCACCAGGAAAGAAATCTGGGTCCCTGAGTAAGGAGATGGAGACCCACCCCCAGAGCCACGGTGTGAGAGGAAACACTCCTCTCTTCTCCTCAGGCCACAGTTTGCTGGGAAGTTTCACTGTAGTAGCTGTGCCTTATCTTAGCTAGCATACCTTGATTTCCTGCTGGGGGACCCTCCCAGGCTGGGTAGGGTACTGCCCTGCTCTCTCCACTCTAGTCAGGGGAGACAGGAGCAGAGGACTCAGGCCTGGGGTGAGAGGGCACCGCATCCCCCAGGACACGGTGATTGGTTGAGGGTGGGACCCAGAGTCAGCCCAGGATCTCTGGTTGAAAGGGAAACCCTCCTGCTGTGCTAGTGCACTGGGGGACAGAAGTCCAGAGTCATCCAGGCTCCATCTGAGACTGTTGGAGAAAGAAGTAAAAGATGGAGAGAATGATCACGGACAAGGACATTGAATACTAAATCCAGCCACTCCTGAAGGTACCACGGCTCTGGACTTTCCAAGCAATACACTCCCTTTTCTGCTAACATCACTGTAAACCAGGTCTCTGTCACCTGCATCCAAAAGAGCCTTGTTTAATAAAATTTAGACCCCAAAGAAAATGTTACCTGGTTCACAATCCCCTGTGCAAAGCAGGCCACAGGCCGATGGCTGCAGCTAGATGCTTGGATATTCCTTGTCTACTTGACCCAGACCAAGGAAGAGAAAGCAGGCCAACTGCCTCCAGCTTCTCTTTCTCCCGCAGCAGCCCCTGGGTCGAGCCCTTCATGCTGGCACCCCTGGGAGGCTGCGCCCTGTGCCACTTGGAGCCCCAGATTCAAGTCTTGCCACTGCTGATGGCCGAACGTGGCCATTCACATCACAAGGTCTGAATGAGAGGGAGGAAAATAGAGGGGGTTCGACTGGACTTGGGGTTCTGGCCCTCTGCAGTGCACTGTTCCAGAAAACATCTGCACACTGAGGGTGTACCTAGCTCAGAGTCTGGCCCGCTGTCAGTGTGCAAAAGGGTTTGTCTCCTTCCTTCTGAAAGAAAAGTGTTGATTTGGAAGAAAAATATTGACTCAAGCTATAGGACATGCCACATAAATGTCCAGATCTTAGCATAATGCCTGGCTCATGCATGGGAGAGAAGGAAGGGGAGAAGATGGAAGGAAAGGAGGGCCAGGAAAGAAAGAGGGTAGGAAGTGGGGAGGGACGAAATAAGAACACTGCCTCATCATCCACGTTTCCCTAGGCCAGGGAGTGGCTAGGAGTTGCCCGGGGACAGGGAGTAGGCAACTCAAGGACAAGGGGGTAGAGCTGATCCACAAGAGGGTCCTGGGCCCTTGCTGCTGCCCTCGGTGAGGGAAGGACTGTGAACTTCCCCTCAACCCCATCTCCAGGGCCTTATCCGGCTTTCCAGAAGTTCACTGCTCACCTCTCCAGCCTGAGACAGGCCTCCATGGTGAGGAGATGGAGGGAGCTAAAGGTCATGGCACTCAGCAGTCACGCACCATGTAGGGCACACCTAAAACTGCCGTCCCTCCTGTTAGTGACGCAGTCACAGGTGAAGAAGAGCCTCCAGCTGGTACAGTCTAGCCTCAGAAAGCCAACACCCCTACAGAAGCCCTGGGACCACAAAAAGGGAACAAAGAGCCTATGAGTTCCCTGCCACACCACGCCAGGCATCTCTGCCCACCAACCTCCAGGACCCAGCTTTTCAATGTGGGTTTTTTCCCCCCAATCAGCTGGTCAGGCCCACCCCAACCCGCTCCACCCCAATAATCTGAAGTCAAATGTCACACAATAAGCCCTGAGCAAGCAGCTTTACCTTAATGCTCTGATTGCTTTTTCTTTTTTTTTTTTTGAGACAGAGTCTTATTATGTCGCCCTCGGTAGAGTGCCATGATGTCACAGCTTACAGCAACCTCTTGGGCTTAACAATTCTCTTGCCTAAGCCTCCCTGTAGCTGGGACTAAAGGTAGCTGCCACAACGCCCGGCTCCCGGCCATTTTTTTTTGTTGCATTTGTCATTGTTGTTTAGAAGGCCTGGCTAGGTTTGAACCCACCAGCCTCAGTGCATGTGGCTGGCACTGTAACCACTGTGTTATGGGTGCTGAGCCTCTGATTTGCTTTTTACTTCTATTTATTTTTTTTGAGACAGGGTCCAATTCTGTCACCCACGTTAGAGTGCCATGGTATCAGCCTAGCTTACAACAACCCTAAGCTCCTGGGCTCAAGCAATTCTCCTGCTTCAGCCTCACGAGTAGCTGAGATTACAGGTGCCTGTCATGACACCCAGCTAATTTTTCTATTTTTAGTAGAGATGATAGCTCTACTAAAGTAGAGTCAGAGATGCTTACTCTTGCTCAGGCTGGTCTCAAACTCTTGAGCTCAAGGGATCCTCCCGCCTTGGTCTCCCAGAGTGCTAGGATTATAGGCGTGAGCTGCTGCACCCAGTTTGTTTATTTTTTGAGACGGGGTGCTGCTCTGTCACTCAGGCTAGTGCAGTGGTATCATCATATCTCATCATAATGTCAAACTCCTGGGGTCACGTGATCCTCCTGCCTTCTTAAGTTTCTGGTACTACAGGTGCTCACCAGCACATACGGCTACTTTTTTCTATTTTTTTGAGAGACGGGGGTCTCACTATATTGCCCAGCTGGTCTTGAACTTTGGTCCTCAAATGATCCTTCTGCCTTGGCCTCCCAAAGTCCTGGGACTATAAGCATGAGGCACTGCACTTGGCCTGTTTTGCTTTTTAAAGAAAAGTTTCACAAGAATGTTTCATTTATTAAAATAATTTCTGTAATATCTTTCAGAATAATAACATTCATTTTCCTTACTTAAGTAGCATTTCAAGTGGAAGTACTTTTATTTCAAGGCACCATAATGATCTCTCTAATAAATACCTCTTCCTCCAAGTGTGAAATTTCTTTAAAAAAAAAAAAACCAGAAAAGAAAAAAAAAAATCCTGCATGGTGATCTTGGCTGTCAGGAGTGTGGAAAACAAACTTTGGTGATATGCATGTGACTGTGTGTGATGGCACTGATGGCACACGTGTTACAGGTCCTGACATCACTACCGTAACTGACAACCTCAGAACAAACCCTACTGTGCCTATGGTCCTAAAGGACAGAGAGGTGAACTGAACACTTGGCATTAAGAAGAGCCAGTGGGGCAGGGGACCCTCAAAACCAAACTCTGTGTACACTTTGCAGTATTGGTGTCTCCCTCCTCACTTCTTCTCCTCCTCCTCCTCCTCACTCAGGTTGGTATTCTCCTGGTGTGTGGACATCAGCTTGCTCTGCAAAAGGGCCGCCAGTTTTTTGGATGTCTTTTTGAGAAACGTGCTACCCGGATGGGCGCTGTTCACGTGCAGGTACAGGTCCTCCTGGGTGGGGCCCGTGTAGCCGCAGTCCTCGCAGACGTAGAGCTTATCCCTGCGCTGCTTGTAGGCGTACTGCTGCTGCACCCCATGAATTTTCTTCAGGTGGGACTCCAAGGAGCAGCGCTGGGTGAAGGCTTTGTTGCAGACATCACATTTGTAGGGACGAATGCCTGCAAGGATGAGGGCAGACATATCATTGGCTGGTCACAGCCAAGCCGAAGCCTCCCAACTGAGCAAGGATTCATGGCAACACAAGGAAATGATTAGAGCAGGAGACCAAATTTGCGGGAGCAAACCTAACATGAATGGATGCCAGCACAGCCAGAAAACACCACCTGCCTGAAGGAGGAAGATCTATATTCTTCCAACTTGTATGGCTTAATGTTTTTACTTTATAGTGGGCAAAGTACACCTTGTTTTTATTTTATTTGGTATGGGTTTCACCAGAAAGAGATCCTGAGACAAAGATTCCAATATAAGTGGTTTATCTGAGAGCCAATCCCAGGACGCACCCTGTGGGGAAGGAAGAAGTGAGGGAAGGAGGGAAAGGAGCCAGTTACTATACAGGCAACCAGGACCGACTCTGCCAGGCAGCCTGGGAAAGTGAGGCAGGGAGGGAAAGGAGCCACTTACTGCGGCGGGCGACTGTGGCCCAACCCTGCCAGGCAGCTGCAACTCGGACCGGTGAGCCCAGAAATGGCAGGGGCCAAGGACATCAGGAGGACACTGATGGCGTCTGCTATTGGTGGGAAAACCATTTCCAAACTAGATCTTGTGCTGCCTTTAGAATTTAGGGCCTTGCCTTCCAGCTGAGAGTTGATGATATGTACTGGGGAGCTCAGCCCTGTCAAAGCACAGCCATTACTGGGTACTCATGCCGGCTGTGTGCAGTAAGAATGTCAGATAAAGAAATGTAAGCATAAAGGGCTGGGCCACGTGGCTCATGCCTGTAATCCCAGCACTCTGGGAAGCTGAGGCGGGTAGACTGCCTGAGCTCAGGAGTTCAAGAACAGCCTGAGTAAGAGCGAGAACCCATCTTAAAAACTAGCTGAGAATTGTGGTGGGCACCTGTAGTCTCAGCTACATGGCAGGCTGAGGCAAGAAGATCACTTGACTCCAAGAGTTTGACGTTGCTGTGAGCTATGATGCCACAGCACTCTACTGAGGATGACAAAGTGAGACTCTGTCTAAAAAAAAAAAAAAAGAAATGTAAGCATATACCATGTGTGTGTGTTCATATAATATTTAGATGAACTTGGACTATAAGTTCAAGAATATTTTATATACTTGCTACAGTCTCCAAATCACCTGTATAGTTTATTAAAGTCTTAATTCATTTATCCTAAGACCCACCCAGGAGGCCTAGGTAGGGGTGAGGAAAGTTTCACTCTGTTGCCCTGGGTAGAATGCCCTGGCATCATAGCTTACCGCAACCTCAAACTCTTGGGCTCAAGCAATACTCTTGCCTCACCCTCCCAAGTACTGGGACTATAGGTACCCACCACGATGCCCAGCTAGTTTTTCTATTTTTAGAGACAAGGGTCTCACTCTTGCTCAGACTGGTCTTGAACTCCTGAGTTCAGGTGATCCACCTGCCTCAGCCTTCCAGAGTGCTGAGATTATAGGTGTGAGCCACCGCACTTGGCCTGATAGTCTATATTTTTCAACAAACATCCCTGGATATTCCAGTGTTTGAACTGGCCACCAATTAAGGTTGTAAGATTCTGGTTGTGGCCCTACCTGATCAAGTAAGTCAGTGGCAGGAAAGAGACCTCAGATCACACCAAACCCAGTGTCCTCCAATGGCAAACACTGTCCCTCCAGCGAGCCCCTGCACAGGGGCCTCACAATCAAAAAGAAGGTTGGGCTGGGTCTGCATGGGCACCCAGATCACCTCAGATCATCTCAGAACCTAGGGCCGGGAGGGGTGGGACGCCCCATGCAGATTCCTGGGCCTGCCTCAGGAACCCCAGCACTAGGTTGAAGGCTGGGGCTAAGAAGCTGCATTTTAATTTTAAAATTAAAAAAGTAGTTGTTTAAATCTAAAAATATACTCCCAAGCCTAAGGTGAAAAATAACATTAAAGTAAAAAATAATGCATCATGCATCACTCCTCCCAGCCCCACTGTCAACAGTTTCTCATGACACTTGATGCTTTCAACAAATTCTGTACACACACACACACATACATTAATACTTGAAGCTTAATAAATACATTTAATTGCTCTGGGTGTGGCCTGAGCAGGAGATTTTACAAAGCTTCCCCCAGGAGACTGGGCACCACACTGCCAAGCATGAAGCAAGCGCTCTGCACATCTGCGTGGCATAAGCAGGGGCATGTTCTGCACATCTACGCACGGAGCACAGATGTTTTTCTGAAACATAAACATGAAGCTTTGGAGAGAAGGTCTGAAGTAGTGGGAAGGCCACCGTGTCCCTTCCACCATCCCCAAACACCCACCAGTATCAATGATAAAGAATGCCTTAAAATATTTTTCACATTAACGGTGGCTCTTTGAGATAACAGACCTCCCACCTTTTCTCTTAAAACCATTCCAGGGCTAAGATAGGGGTGAGGTGAGAGAAGTCCCAACCTTAGGAACAAAATTTAAGGGAGTAACATAAAATTCAAAGAATTTTGGCTTGGCGCCTGTGCTCAAGTGGCTAAGGCGCCAGCCACATACACCTAAGGTGGCAGGTTCGAATCCAGCCCGGACCCGCCAAACAACGATGACAGCTGCAACCAAAAAATAGCCTGGCGTTGTGGTGGGCGCCTGTGGTCCCAGCTACTTGGAGGCTGAGGCAAGAGACTTGCTTGAGCCCAGAAGCTGGAGGTTGCTGTGAGCTGTGAAGCCATGGCATTCTACCCAGGGGGATAGCCTGAGGCTCTGTCTCAAAAAAAAAAAAAAAAAAAAAGAATTTTGTTTTTTTGAGATACCCTGGGTAGAGGTGCATGGCACCACCACAGCTCATGGAACCTCGAATTCTTGGGCTCAAACGATTTTCTTGCCTCATCTGTTTTTTCATGTTTTAGTAGAAACAGGGTCTTGCTGTTGCACAGGCTGGTCTAGAACTTTTGAGCTCAAGCAATCCACCCACCTCTGGATTCCAGAGTGCCAGGACTACAGGCATGAGCCACCACATCTGGCTGAGGTAAAAAAAATATTTTAAGGCATTCTTTAAAAAATCAAAATACTAAACAAATGGAAAAGACACGCCACATCTTTGGGATCAGTTTTCTACATAGGCAAAGGCTATCGACAGCTCTCCCGAGACACTTGCCTGAGCTCTTATGTTTGTGCTGTAATGCAGACTTTGAGTCTTGGTGCTCCCTGGACCTGTGTGGTGGTGACAGCTGCCTCCCACCACCCCAGCAGATCAAGTGGCAAACTTGATGTCAAACCCACAACTCACTGAACAGAAATTCACATGGTGACCACGTGGAATGGAAATAACCCACTGCTGTTTTAAAACATCCAAACTAAAACCAAGGGGAAACCAGGACACTTACATCAGGCTTTAAAGTTGCAAAACTGTGAAGGTTCCTACACCCACAGACGTCCTGAAAGGTGATCCGCCCCCAGGACAGGCTGGCGGCCACAGCTAAGCCCCATATGCATAGGGTCACGCCTCTTTCCTTTCTTCATTCAACACGTCCACTGAGCATTTTCTACAGGCTGAACACCAGCAGGTCTGGATGGCCAAGGCTAGAAGATTTTAAAGCCCTGCAGCCAAGAGCAGTGGAGAATGGGGATGACAGTCACGTATGGCTTTCCACCAGGGAGGGGGTGAGATTTGAGCCTGGCTTGGAGAACATGTGACTTGCAGACATGGATATGGAGAGGAGGTGGTAGGCTGTGAAGGCCCGAGGGATGGCATTTCTTTAACATGCTGCTCTGTACCCTGGCCACCCCCACCCCAGCCGTGTAGACACCACCATCGCCCTCACTCACTGGTGCAGACACTGTTACATGGCAGCCCCGTGGGGAACCCATTCTAGGCTTGGGAACAAGCCCCTCCCTCCTGGAGAACCCTCATCCCCAACACGCTCAGTAGGAATGAGGGGGCCAAAAAGGAACCCTGGGCAGGAGGGACTAAGGCTAAGCAACCTCCCCACCCTCACTACCCCAAACATCGGGGCTCATCCGTCCTCATGCTCTCTAGTAAAGGCCGATCTTGCCTGCATCTAAAGCAAGCTACGGGAACTGAAACGCACCATCTGTGCACCACACATCATTAACCTACTGATAGCAACACCGACACAAGTACCAGAGTCCAAGGCCACTGAAAAGCAGGTGCTGCAGATCTGCCGTTCGTTAACTGAGTCCATGGGCAGGCGGCTTGACCCCCTCCAAGGCTCAGTTTCCCCATCTGTAAAATGGGGGTCATATTATTAACCCTCAAATAGCTGCTCTAAGAATCAGCCAAGCTATGCTGCATTCTCAGTGGGATTCAGCTTCAAGAGCTTACGATCCAGCTCAACATAAGGCAAACAAGCCCCATAGATAAGCTGGCTTGTGGGCACCTGAGCAGTTCACGTTTGTTTCTAAGCTTAACCTATACGTACACTTTATATATGTATATATATATATATAT